AGTTTTAAAAGGTTTGGAATCTATATTCCATTTTACTGGTGACTTTAAGTGACTTTAAAGCAGCTAACTTACAGCTAAGCTTTTAAAGGTCTTCTGGCATCTGTTTTCCAAGGATTTCAATGGTTGTCCAGCATCAAAGCACTTAAAAAAAATTTGTCCTTACTGTGAGCTGCCTTCAGCTTACAATCTGTAAATGTTCTGCCCTGACAGGTGTGTCAGGAGACTATATGTTATATATGTACTAGTATCTTACAATATTAATATAGACATTAGACTGCATGATGCTTAGTTTTACTAAAAAGGGGATTAGTAGTAATGAAAACAGACTGAGGTTCTCTCAAAACTGTGACAATCAACTTCTTCAGGGCTTTGAAGACTCTAGAATGGTTTTATTCAAGACAATGAATTCACTGGTATTCACACAATTTGCCCTTGCAGCAAAGAAGGCAAATGGTACCCTGGGCTGCATTAGGAGGAGTGTTGCCAGCAGGTCAAAAGAGGAGATACTTCCCCTCTACTCAGCACTGCTGAGGCCACACCTAGAGTGGTGTGTCCAGTTCTGAGCTCCAGAGTAAAAGACAGATATGCAGATACTGGAGAGGGTCCAGCAAAGGGCCACTAAGATCGTGACAGGACTAGAGCATCTCTCCTATGAGCAAAGGCTGAGAGAATTTGGTCTGTTCAGCCTGGAGAAGAGGCAGCTGAAGGGGGATCTCATCAACGTATACAAATACCCGAAGGGAGGGTACAAATAGGATGGATCCAGGCTCTTCCCAGTGGTGCCCAGTGACAGGACCAGAGGCAATGGGCACAAACTGAATCACAGGAGGTTCCCTCTGAACATCAGGAAACACTTTTCCACTGTGAGGGTGACCGAGCACTGGCACAGGTTGCCCAGAGATGTTGTGGAGTCTCCATCCTTGGAGATATTCAAAAGCCACCTGGACATGGTCCTGGGCAACTGGCTCTAGGTGACTCCTGCAGGGTACCCTGATGTACCCTCCAGAGGTCCCTTCCAACCTCAACCATTCTGTGATTCTGAGATTCTTAGCTCTTATTCCTAATAAAGAGACTTTTAGTGCAAACTGTACTGGTTATAATAATGTCTGAAGATTTTGAACAATTTCACACCTAAATTTCTGAATAACAGCATATAACATAGTGATTGTGATTTGATGATACTGTGCACAAATGCAGAAAAGAAGTTATCATAGATAGTAGCCTCAAAGGAGAAGTTGGCATTTCACGGGATTTGTGGTATGGAAGGAGTTTTAACTGTATATAAACTGTATACTAAGAACCGAAGAGGAATTATTCCTTTAAATTTAAAGGAGCTCTTTATTAAAAAGGCCTTTTCCTCCTTTCCTCCCCAGACTTCTTCACAGTTTTGGAAGCGGAGTTAATAGAATTAACCCTGTTGGTAAAACATTAACTTTGAGAAGAGTTCTTTCTTACTAGGAGCTAGAGAAGTAAATACTACATTGCTATTGGCACTTGTCATTACACAGAATTTAGTCTTAAACTGTATAAAATAGTTTAGGGTTTTTATCTCTGTACTACTGTTACTTGTGATTAAATGAATATCTGATTAAATATTTGAACAAACAAAATACGTACAAATAAATACAAATATCAAAAACTTACTTGAATGAAAGCAAATCTTCACACATACCTCTTATTTGACAGGCTGACAGACTAAAAAACATTTTAAATTGAAGCTGCGTATAAAACCTCTACATGTAGTCACTAGACAAAGGCTTTCTAATCAATGTAATGCCCTTTAGGAAAGGTTCATCTCTGAGGGCTGATACTTTGAAAAATCAGTATCTACTGCTCATGCTTCCTAGAGAAGCAATTGCTACTAAGAGATGGAAAAGTTACCTCACAACAGCTGTAAACTCTCCATCTCAGCAGGCACTGATTACATGGTTAAGATCAACAAAAACAAGTTTGAGACCTAAATATTCTGGTGGTATTGTTAATTCTCTGTCCTTCATTTAATCTTAATATCTAACTAAGAAGAAAATACATTTTCAGTGCTAGTATGCAAGCATATTAAAAGAAGAAACAGAAGAAATAATTAAACCTTCAGCCAGCCATGTTTTAACTCTGTTGTGTGTTTAACACTTTACTGTCCGCGTTTTTGATTTAACTTGTCCACCTTCTTGGTATAACTAAGCAATGCAGTTAAATTATCACAGCCCTTGTCCCCTCAATTCCAGTGGTGTTATATTGTTACAGCTCTTCTTTATTAGAGAAGAACAGCCTTATCTATGTGAGGCAAATTTGTATCAATAGCATGCATTCACAGAAGAGGGTTTTTTTGCTATCAAAAAAAAGCTATTTCAGTTAAAGAGTCTTCTCCAAATGCAATAGTTTTCTTGACAATTTTCAGATTTAGAGTAGGCCTCTATTCAATTTGGAATAATGCTAGTGCTAAGGAAGAGAGACCACTGCAAAATTTTACCCCTTCTAAGTCCTTCATGGTCTAACTGTCAGTGTATCCTAGCAAAGGCTCTTTATTTCCCATCACACGAGCAAAAAGAACCAGAGGGAGTGACATGAGAGAAGCTTAGTGCCAGGGAACACCATAATGAAGTCTGTTTGTCTTTTGATTGTTTTTGGTAGAATTAGGGGTGGAACAGCTGGGGAACTCCTTTTCTTCACTCACAAGCAGACACCCTGTTGAAAACGCTCATGCTTTTCATGACCATTTCCTTCTTGCCCTTCAGTTTGACTAGCCAGTCTCAACTCATCCATGCTGGTCTCTTGCCTTCCTTTCCTGATTTCTTATACCTTGGAATTGAGAGCTCTTGCACTCTATGGAAAGCATCCTTAAAGATCTGCCAGCTCTGTTTTTCTCCCTTGTCCCTGAGGTCAGTTTCCCAGGGGGTCCTATTGACTAACTCCTTGAACAGCTGGAGTTAGCTTTTTTAATAGGAAAGTTTGCTTTCTAAAAATTCAGGGTCCTGACTACTCTCCACCAGTCCCATATCCCTCAGGATTGTGAACTCCACCAGTGCATGATCACTGCAGCCCAGGCTGCCTCCAATCTTGACGTCACTGATTAGCTCACTTGCATTGGTGACCATTAGGTCCAATATTGCATCCCCTCTGGTAGGACTAGTACCCAGCTTAAGAACTTATCCTCAATACACTCCAGGAGTCTCCTGCATTGCCTACAGCTCACCGTGCTACTTTTCAGCAGATGTCGGGGTGGTTGAAGTCCTCCTGGAGGATGAGAGCCTGTGAGCACGATGCCTCCTGTAGCTGGAGTAAGAAGGCTTTGTCAATAGGCTCCCTTTGATCGGGCAGCTTGTACTAGACACCAACCACAAGGTTCCCTTTGTTGTCTCGGTCTCTAATTCCTACCCATAAGCTTTCAACCTGCTCTGGCTATTCTTCAGAGACAGGTCTTCACACTCTATCCATTTCTTTATGTAGAGGGCAACTCCTCTTGCCCCCTCCTTCCTCATCTGTCCCTTCTGAACAGCCTGTAGCCACCGATAGCTGCACTCCAGTCATGGGATTCGTCCCACCAAGTTTCAGTAATGGCAGCTAGGTTGTAGCTTTCTGGAAGCACGGTGGCTTTCAACTCCTCCTGTTTGTTGCCCATGCTGCGTGCATTGGTGTAGAGGCACTTCAGCTGGGCTGTCGGCCATGTCACCTTGTTAGAGGAACACACCTTAACACCACTGGTGTTCCCCTGTTGGCTTCTATTACCTCAGGAGCCCCTGGCTCATCTCCGTAAGACTTCAGGTGTGCTCCAGTGTACCCAGCACATCTCAGAGCAACAGGCTGAGGGCCCTCACTAGCACCCCGTCCCTCTAAGCTTGGCGTGTCATCCCACAGCTTGTCATGGGCAAGCCTGATAGTACGCGCCTCCACCTTCAAGTCTAGTTTAAAGCTCTGTCAATAAGCCCCGCTAGCTCATGAGCAAAGACCCTCTTCCCCCCCTTGAGAAAGGTGAATCCCATCTGACGCCAGCAGGCCTGGTGCTGTGTAGACCATCCCATTATCAAAAACCCAAAACTGTGGTGGTGACACCAGCCGCGGAGCCGTATTCTTCTTTGATGAAGAATACCTAAGTGTTAAATGCCTTCTTCTGAGAAAGCAGCACTGGTCCCATAAATAAATATGGGACTGCTGTATGAAAGGAGAGGCTCCTGTTGGCCGTGTACCACAGGTAGCACAATTTCTGAGTTGGGAAGTTTATATTGGACAGAAAATAAATATCACAAAGACTAGCAAATTAACATGTACTTTTTTCTTATTTCTGCTAGAATGATTCTCACCAAACTCAGCAGTAAGCAATGCATATTTGTAAAATAAATTCATTAAAAGCTGGGGCAAAGGAGACTATCAGTTTTAATCATATTTTGCAGTGTAGTGTTATTCGAGCATTAAAAGTCGTAAGACATAGAAATTAAGGTTTATTCTTAAAGTCAGAGGCTTAGATTATTAGGCCATGTTTCTACGTCTACCATAATATTTTTAGTCTCCGTATAAAATTTTTCTTCTGTGATTTCAGGGTGTATGAACTGATTAATTCTGTAGAACAGAAAATCTGAGTCTTAACTTTGTTGTAATAGCATTAAATTCTTTATTAAAGATATGAATAAGGAACATGTCTTCTTTTTAATACTAATGATTAAGCTTATGGGTACTGAGAATTTCTAGTGTCACTTAATGGGGTGCAGAATATGGAGTATGACAGTATCCTCACACCAAGAGGCAGTCAAAAAAAAGAAAAAAAGTAAAATATTTCCACTATTGGCAGAACTAGTCAAACTACATACAGCTAAGTGTGTTCGAAAATAGAACTTGACAGTATTTTGTTTGTTTTCAACTTTTTTAATCTTATATACCGCAGAATGGTATTTTCTATTACCTCAGAATGGATTTTTTTCTTTTTTAACAAAATTATTCCGTTTTTGAGAATAAGACCAAGAAAAATCACTCTGGACGCTAAAAAAAATTCTGATAATTCTTTTTGTCAGTAACACTGTGCATTGGTGACTTAGTATTCAACAGGAAACTGGCCTTTGTTTTGGAGTTACGCCTTTACCATCCAAATGGCATCTCGCCATCGCTGACCCAGGAGACTCGAGAGGGGCTCTGTCATGCCTTAACGGAATTCCCGAAGAAGGAATTTGGTGCTGATGGAGAGCAGAAATGGAAAGAGGAAAGAAAGAAAGAACAGGTCAGAAGAGTGACTGGGATGGGATAACTGGAAATAGAAGGGGATAAGGCCAGGACTGGAGGAGTCCTCCATACTGCTTCTTCATCCTGGTCCCAATTCTGCGTTATCTGAAAGAGATTGCATTGGCAATAGCCTGCTTAAGAGCACAACTCTGTTTAACACCCTGACCATTGTCAATCCTGTTCACTGAATGAATCAAGGTCTTGGAGAAAAAATAACCCATTAACCTGGAATGCAGTTTGCATTGTTACATAGATACTGTAGGATACCGAATTCAGATTGCAGAAGGAAAATTCTCCTTTGTTCATAATTTGTAAGTACTTAACTTTGCAGACAATGCTATTTTAATGGGGGTTATCTTGAGCTACTTTCATGCAGCAGTTTTGAAAACCTACATCTGCCAAAACAAAAATCCATCAGGTGGTACATGAGTTGTGTCACCAGCAATCTTTGGCCCATTAGATGCACACCACAGACATAACACTAGAATTAACAGGTTAAATTGTCCCAGGACTAGTGTGTTATTCTGCACAAGGAACAGCATTTTAAAGGGCTGCAATATATTTTTTGCTAACAGTTTTCATGCTATTTACAGGGGATAGAAAAATGCAAAGACAAAGGGCACGGACGTATCAAGTTCCTTTTTTGCAGAGACCCTTCTGCTCTATAATCTACTACATCCCACTTTGTTCTGCTTTCATCTAATCCTACTCATTCAGGCTTTGAGTTTTGTTCATACCTCTGTTATGCATGTCTCTAAACAGCTGTCTATCTCTTCGTCTGTAGACTTTCACCTTCTCTGCTGCTGCCTACCTACCTTATAAACACAGAAAGTAACTCCTTTGCGTCTCTGACTGATGTCTTCTTCCGAGGTCTGCACATCCCTATCCAACTCTCTTTCTCTTCAGCTTGTTTTCTATCTGGCTTCTGTAACGTTTTCTTTTCATCTTCCTCATAGTAGGTTCCATTTTGACAACTTCTCTTTGTCTGGCTTATGCAGGGAGAAGCAGCTGACAGCATGGGACAAACATCCAGCCTTCACCTTCAGGTCATGGCTCTAGAAATGCAAAAGGAGAAGCGTTGCTTGGCCCAAGATTTGAATATACTCTTTATTGAGATACTCGTCAGGTCTAAAAAATTAGGTAGCTAATTAGTTAGACAGGTCTAACTTCAGTCTTTAAGAAGTCTCCACTGAGCATATGCCCATTGTGGCTGCTTCTGAAAGCTTGTAAATTGCCACTGTTTACAAAAAATGATAGATTCATTCTCTAAACCCTACGTGACTAGAGCTCCTCAGCAGACAGGTTATAAACTTTATTGTGGTGGGGAGGGAGGGCCGCGGCAGACAGACAGTACTTTCTATTCTTTTTCTCAGAAATTAGGTCTTCCCAAAAAATAAATCTGATGATAGTGAACGTCATCTTGAATGGTTAAAGCAATTATAGAACTCTTGTAGCAGGGATTATAGGGCAAATTTATGTACAGGATAAAACTATTTAAAACCAGGAATGAATCATGTATTTTTTTTTTCTGAATAATTTATTTTTTGGCTTCCTAAAAACCTTTTAAAAAACAGGGTTGTAGTATGTGCACATGTGTGTGTTTGTGGCCTGATAATGAACTTTTGCCTTTGTTTTCAGTGTGGTGTGGAGTGTATGTTTACCTTTGCTTTGGCTTACTGTGTACTGTGTAAACAAACACACTTTTACTCTTTAAAAAAAAATTGTTCTGAGAACCGTTACATTCTCACCATTGTGACTGAACTTTGTCTTCCTGAGGCTTGGATGCAGTGTCATGTTATTTGTGATGACAGGCTATGCAGTATCAAAGAAAAAAAAAAACCAAAACCACTTAACTGTGGTGACTGCAGTCAGCTCTAACCATCGTGGAAAGCCACTCGGAGCACAGAGCACCTGTAGGCAGCGTGTGCTCAGACTACTGTTGGAGCAGCCCTGTGCAGTCCTTTTGGAAGTACAAAGCCCTCATGGCACTGCAAGGCAGGACGAGGAGCTGGAAGTAGTTAGCAATAGATTTGTTGTAGCAATTGTCTTGTTAACACAGAGCAGCAATTTATTTCCATCACAAACCCAACAAAATGCCTTGGATTTTCTTTCTAAGAATCCCTTATAGCATTTAAATTACTCTGACTCGAAATCTCTCTCTTTTCCTTGGAAAATAGAATGACAATTCATTCATATAAACTAAATGATTGTAGACATTTTGTATTTATTTAACAGGGACAAACTAAAAAGCATACTTTAAATAAACACGGAGAATGTATCAGGGTGCAGGCAGGGACTGATGCTCCCTGGGCACTTCAGAGGCAGCAGGACAGGGCCTGGCAGCCAGGGCCTAGATCCCACCACCCCAGCAAGAGGCAGGGCAGTTGGGGTGGGGGTGGGCAGCTGGGGGCAGCCCCAGCCCCGGGGATCGGGAACCTGCTGGGGACGGGATGGGCAGGGCCAGGCTGGGACATCAGCCCAGGGGCCCAGCAGGGCTGAGGGGAGCTGGAGGCTGACCCTGCTGGGGTCCTGGGCCCTGGGCAGGGCTGGGGGAGGCCCTGGGGGAGGCTGGGCAAGGCTGGTAAGCCCTGTCAGTGCCATTGGGGCCCTGACGTAACAGTGGGTTTTAATTTGTATTTTAAATAAAAAGAAACATATAATAAAGTTCTGAGGAAGGGGAAAAAAGTCCAAAAGAGTAAATTTTTTCAACTCCCTATCTTGTAACAACTGAATTTCAGCAATAAAACTAAATGGAGTATCAAGTGGATTTCAAAAGCACAGATAGAATCGGTATTTAGATAATTATTTTACTCATTTAGAGAGTCATTTTGACATTAAACTAGGAGTGCATAAATAGGTCCATGTATGAAGAGATCAGACAATAATGCAATAAGCATTGTGTCAAATCTAATTATGTACCAAATTTTGTAATGATAGATTAGTCTTTCTGCACTATGGGTCACAGTTCAGAATCAATGGTGTATTGTGGTTGTGGAAAATTTCTATGCAAGTTGCAGACATACATCAAATTATACAATAATGTCTAGACACCTTCAGTGTATGGTATTCTTTACCAGAGAGCACTGAAATAAGAGCATGTGCAAGTTCTAAATTTATAAATCCTTAATCATTATACAAAGAAAGAGACACCTGCGCTCTAGCAATTTACAAGTTTGTGTTAATTCTTTCTAATCATAGAATCACAGAACAGCCCAGGTTGGAAGGGACCTCAAAAGATCATCTGGTCCAACCCTTCGCGGGAAAGGGAGCCTGGATGAGATTATCCAGCACCCTGTCCAATCACATCTTGAAAATCTCCAGTTGCAGGGACTCCACCACGTCCCTGGGGAGGTTGTTCCGGTGAACGATTGTTCTCACTATAAAAAATTTATTTCTTATGTCAAGATGGAACCTCCCTCAGGTGCAACTTGTACCCGTTGCCCCTTGTCTTCTCCATGTGGCTCCTTGTGAAGAGACCCCCCGTCCCTCTTTGTAGCCACCCTTTAAGTGACCATTTCCAAACCATACAAAACAAGATATTCTATTTCATACAAAGAGTGTAATCACATAACAAATGATAGCTGTGCTTAAGTGATTATTAGCATGGCATACAAACATATGTACAATAAAACTCTGTCCTGATAAATTCAGAATTTCTCCTCTATTTGTCATGATGAAACGGCTCTGTTTGTTGCATACAAGCGAAAAGTTATATGAGAGTACAAAATGTTCTCGATTAAGAAAATGGGTTCCAAAACATACAAAGGCTGATGACTGAGTTATGCCCTGGGCAGCTTTAGATTAGTCCTAGATGATTTTAGTCTTGTCTGGAAAAATGAGACATTTACTTCTTTCATTATTTGGGCCACACTGTCTTTCATTTTAAACTGAGGCAAGTGATTGTTTTCCTTCAGGTGCTTAGTGGTAAATGATGGCTGATATGGTTTGTTGGCAGCTGCTTTGTGCTGTTTTCCTAAAGCTTCCTGGAAGAGATCCATCTTATATACAAGGTCTTATGCTCAGTTCCAGCAGAAAATCTAGACTGACAAATCTAGACTGACAAACTTCTAGTTTATTTTTTGGGTTTAGAGAATATCATTATTTTGATGAAATGGGACACTCATTTGACAGAAACATCTCTGACAGGAAAAGACTTAAGTATTGTGGTGAATGGAGTTAAATTGTATTTAACTCCCTTGTTAAAATTGTTAAATTGTATTTAACTCCCTTAAGTATTGTGGTGAATGGAGTTCAATCCAGTTGGCGGCCAGTCACGAGCGGTGTTCCCCAGGGCTCAGTTTTGGGGCCAGTCTTGTTCAATATCTTCATCAATGATCTGGATGAGGGGATCGAGTGCACCCTCAGTAAGTTTGCAGACGACACCAAGTTGGGCGGCAGTGTTGA